ATCTTTTTACGTATTATTACAACACGTATCTTTCACATATTAGTTTTTGTTAAAAAAATCTTATATTATTACAAGTCGATAATGTTTAATCCTTGTTTGTATAAATTAAAATGTTTAGCCTTAAATTAAACAACCATAAAAATGTTTAAGGCTAAATGCTTAATTAAAAATCTAACGTTTGCTTGATTTTTAATTAATGATCTTAACTTTAATTTGGTTCAATGTATGATATAACATTTTTCAATTTGTTCAAATAAGGCTTTCTGTTACGGTTGTGATTTACATGCGTAAAAAAAAGCATGAATCACTATTTTGTAATATAATGAACAGTAAAAATAGCCAAAAACGATGTCTTCTCTAGCTTTTCTTTTCAAGTGAACTCTATTTTTTTGTTCTTTTTAACCAAAGAACAAATACTCAAAAATTAGTCTTTTTCTCCATTGATCTCACCGTCGATCTTTGTTTTTCACCAACAACATAGCTTTTTTATAGCTAAAATCAGAATTTCTTATTCAACCCCTCTTTTATGTTCTTTTCTCTCTAAATCTCTAAATCAAAACCTAGCTACAACCCAAAAAATGAAGAGCTTAAGAATCATAGAATCTTACCACTAGAATCTGATGCCATTTGTCGTTTATTGTGTTATTGATCGATCATCACTTTCTCCCTTTTCTAACTCTGTTTTAAAACCCACAAATTCTAAAAAAAATCAAACCAAAAAAAACCCCTTGCTAAGAAATTCTAAAAAAAGATCAAACCAAGAAGAAATTCCCAAAAAAAAATCAAACACAAAAAAAAAAAAAACTTTTGTTGAGAAATTCCCAAAAAAGATCAAACCTAGAAAAAACCCTTGCTGATGAATCTAGAATCTTGAAGCTGTGGTTGCTTCTGTGTATTGGAACCCCTTATTGGATTAATTGCTTATTTGAGGCAAATTGTTGATTGCTATTGAATTTACTTTGTTGATTGCCTATCAAAAAAAAATTTTCTTAGCCCAAAAAACTTCTCAAAACAATTGATTTACTGTGTATTTTTTCCTCCATTCTAAGATTCAATAACTTTGCCCAATTTTCTTGCTTTTCAATGACTTGATTGTGAATTGCTACTATCTAGCCTCCCTTGCTTGATTGTTCGAGGTTAATTGTTATGCTTAATTTTGCTCTTTACCTCTTTATTTATCATCAATTCTTACTGTGTTCAATTTTTGTATTTTATTCATTAGAGTTAATGGGTTTAATGAAAAACATTAACGGATAATAGACTTGATGGCACGTATAAACCACAGTCGTAACTTAGTCCTTATTTGAACAATTTGAAAATGTTATATCTTATATTAAATCAAATTAAAGCTGAAATCCTTAATTGAATAGCCACTTAAACTTTTAATCTTAAATTGAACATTTAACCTATCATTTATATGTATATGTGTGTGTGTGTGTTTTTTTAAAATATTAAGATTATAATTTTAATATTTTATTTAGTGGGGCTATTACACCTCTCTATTGATATAGGTTATGCTTGGTTCATCTCGATATGAATAATAATGTCATGCCTAGCATTGCATGATCTATGAAAGTTACAAGTCATGTGTCGTACTCGCCACGCCCTTAACGTTCTTAAACAATGCCAACATAACATGTTAAAAAATGCTATTGAACTAATATAATCTATTAATATATGAATTAATATTTAAATGGACTATATTGACTCAATACTATCCATTCGACACCTCTATTACTATCTAGTATATTAGATTATATTGTAATTAACAATGACGCTTGGCTTCGAGCCATTGATGTATTGTTGAATTGACGCTGTTATTAATTAATGGTGACTTAGTAGAATGAAATATTCTAACTGGGAGTAGTATCAACCAGAAGCAGAAGCGGAAGCGGAAGAAAAGCCTGACCTTTGTATGACCGTGAATCTATGACCCATCTGGTTCTGCCTAATGTGAATGACAGACGCAGATGCAGTAAGCTGGTGGTCCTCAAAAGCTGCATGTTGTCACATGTACATGTACTATAGTTTCTGGTAATTACCTTCAATATTTCTTGTTACTTCTTGTCTCTCTTCCGCGTGAGCCAATCACTAATTCTTCATTTCTTTCAATATTACAGCACATACAATAGCATATCTTTTCCTAGCTAAGAGACAGCGAAAGAGAAAGGGAGAGAGACGTACACATCCTATACTATATAACTTAATATTTTATTTTATTAGAAAAAACTTAATATTTTCCCTTTTATTGTTATGTAGCAACTACCATCTAATCTATAAGTAACGCTAGCTAAATTAATGAACTCGTAGGCGAATAAAACTATAACCAGTATTTTGCGGTTATGTTGTTTAATTAATAGAATTTAATATGTCAAAAAATAGAATTTAGTAAAAAAGTCATAATAGTAACATTTTTCATTAATAATTAATAATTGTTTACTGAATTTTAACGGATCACTTGTATGAATTGCCGTCAACTATTTCAGTTGGCGACCATAATTATCTGACCAACTGCATACCAACTGCATAAAGTTCAATTAATGATTCCACATGAAAGTGCCAGTGGAATTAACGAGAAATTCACGGTGATCTTGTAGCTTTGGCTGCCTTCCCTTACTACAAATTAGTACTCTACTTGAAATTATGTTTAACAAGCTTACAGGAAAAAAAAAAAAAAACATAAGCCAAAAAATATATGTTTACGTGCCGCGAGGGAAGAGCACAAATTACAAGAGATAAAAGTTGCGTGTACACAAAGGAACCTTTTTTTCTCTTTTTTTCTTTTTGCATTTGGGTGAACTTAATTGGGAAGAGAAGCGTAACTATCATTCCTTCTAATCAAGTTAATACCTATTTTCTTCGATAGGGAAAGGTCTCTCCAACTCAAAAGTGCCCTACCCAACAGCACGCAAAAGGTTTAACTTTATTCCATTGACAATAATAGAAGAGGATGAATAACTAAATTCAACTCAATGCTAATATCGGCCTCTTAATTGAGGTAATTTCTCTTAATTAAGGATCGATATTGCTAGAATATAATAATTAATTAAAGTGGCTTGGTATAATCTAATTAATGGGATTGGGATGTGAATCCACAACTTCTAAGTCTTGATAAGCTTTTGGCTAAAAAAAAAAAACAGGCTGCATGGCCAACATGACCCCGCCGACAGTGAGTGGTAAGTTTCAGAGCATGAAATTTTTGAAAAGGAAATCTCGACCCGAACAATGACAGCAAGAAATAATTCCCTTGATGATTTAAACTTTATTTTTTAAGTGATTGATTTAATCGATTAAAAATTATTTTTTTCGATGAAAAAATTTTTAATTTGAATCTTATCAATGATAATTTATTTAAATTATTTTAAATATATAATTTATAATTATTTTTTATAAATTATAAAATATGATATATTTTATTTTGATTTAAAAAATTAAAAAATTAATTTATTTTTAATTTTATTTTGCTAAAAAAAATAATTTTATTTTTTACCGTACCATTTATTTGGCATTTTTTTTGGTGATATTGGATGCCCATTAATTTAATTTGAATATTGTAATTATATTCCAGGTCTCCCTCGTCTATATTCTCGATAGTGTCAATGATGTATACAGTAATATTAGTACTGTACTATAAAGAAGAAAAAAAAAGTAACATATACGTATGTATGTAGCAACTTACATAATATAAAATTATTTTTATTTTATATATTTTTTTAATTCTTAATTTTAATAATTTTAAAAATATAAAAAAGACAAGTAAAAATATTTTATACATAAAACATGCATTTTTTTTTCTTGTTTCAAAGAAAGCAGAACCTTACAACAAGAAAAAAGAGAGAAATTAAGGTCGAGCTCCAATCTTTATGTTTTCTTTTAAAGTTATTTTAATTATTAGATAAAAAAATTGAAGACATATATGCATATATATTATTATTATTAGGTCATCAGGCCTTAAATTTGCTATTGCCCATTACTGCTATCCTTAAATTGTCTGCTTGGGCTTTTTTTTTCTTTGTACTTTAAAGATTAAAGAGTAAATATTACTAGACTTGTCTTGCACTGTTTAATAACAACCAATTTTAAATAGATTAGATAAGGTGCAAATTAGTTTTATCATTGTATTTATGTAAATGGTTTAAATTTACAATCAGTTCTTTAATTTAACTGTTTACCATCATACTTATAATTTTGAAATAAATTTACAATAATATTATTTCAAATTTTAAAGTAATTAAAAATATTCAATAAAAAAATTCTGGTAGAAGTTGTTTTACAGTTAAAAAAAGGTATAATAGAAAAAAACCAGGAATAAAGCTAAAATCCAGTTTTATTTTATTTTATTTCTTTTATCATGACATTTTCTGGTAAATATAATACCACATATAATTCAATTTTTTATTTTATTTTTTCTTCTGTCATCATAAAATTTTTTATGAAATATAATATCAGATCATACCTTTTCAATTGATGTTGATCTTGTTTTTATATAATGTTATTTTTAAGATTTTTAATTATAAAATAATTTTAATAAAATATTTTACAAAATATTTTTGTTACACATTGATTAAATTTATTTCAAAATTAAAAGTATAATAATAAATTTACTTCAAAATTAAAAATATAAAATGCAACAATTAAAAAATTAATAATAAATTTAAATAATTCATATAAATAAAACAATAAATTTATATTTTATTCCTAAATTGATAAAAGAAATAGCCGGAATCAAAATTAAGCACGCATGAATGATAAGTTTTGACATGAATGTCGAGTACTAGTCATTACTAGCAACTTTGGGTTAAAAATGAAAAATAGCTGGAAGGCAAAAGCCGGTTAGCCATAAACATGAAACAGACCATATACCAAAAAAAAAAAAAAAACACCCTATTACCAGTACCCAGTAAATTAAATAAAATGAATGTAATCCCAAAAAACAGAAAAAGCAACTGTGGATTGTTGTCTGTATGCCACTACTACACCCAAATCCAATCTCCTACGTTATTGCATTCAGATAGTGTCTATCAAGACAACTCCTTCATGAATCATCATCATCTAGTACAACTTTATATCTAATCGAGCGGTGCTACAATTGCCTGTTATTTGCGGTGCATACCAAATCATGGTCTTCTTAGCCTTCCTCTTAGATTCCATACGTGCTCCTCCCAGTATTTTTTTTAAAAGAAGCTGTAATTTGAGAACAGAGAAATTGTTGCAGTTATAAGAGATTCGAATTTCATATTAACTGAGCTAAGCCGCAGATCCCTCCTCCCGGTATTATAACCTCGAAAAAGGCCGGCAAAAGCAGTCGCTGTGCTTTGCAATTTGCATCTCTCTCCAATCAACCCCCCCCAAAAAGAAAAATCTTCTTGATTTTCCAAATTTACTTAACACCTTCGTTTTCTTGTTTTTTCTCTTCCTTATTTAGCTCCTGGAGCAATATTTCCTAATCAAATCTGTATTCTAATTTAGCCACAATAAATGACCATTTTCTCATTCAGTTTCTCTGTCATTTGTGATGTACTAAATTAAGCTCTAGTCTTACATTTCGATTTAAAAACGCATCTGCAAGATTCAAGCTTTGGCTTTTTCTGATTTTCTCTCTCAAGTTTTGGGGAGCAGAGGAAAGCAATGACGAACCTTTTTGGGGTTTGGATTGTTATAACATTTGGTTTTTATCAACTGGTTGCCGGGTTCTTAGATTTTAATGAAACAGAGCTCTCTTTTATTGAGGCTTTCCAATATGGAGTCTCCAAACTCAATTACAATCCTCCCATGGTTGGACTCACTCTTATCCCAAGTGCTGGCGCTAAAGGAGCTGGTATACATTTCCTTCTGTCTCGTTGCTTCCATCTGTTATTTCTGCTCATTCTTTCTTTCACATTTCTTTATATTTTACTTCAGATTGCTGGATTTAGATTTGTTTGTCTTTTTTCATTTTTCAAAAAATAAAAAAAGGGTATCGTAAAATGGCACTAAAAAGTATTCCAATAAGTTCAGCGGCCTGAGTGAGAGAATATACATATATTCCAGTTTCTTACTAATTTTATGTTTTATTGGCCACTAAATGCACTTAACAAGGTTTGGTTCTAATGATAATTATAATTAAATTTCGTCGATCTACATTTTCCCTCAAAAATTTTATTGTGGCCTTTGCCCTCATTTTCTTCAGGCCGCACATCGCTTTTGCGCACGCATGCTCTTGTTTTCAAACGCGCTTTACACATCTTTTACGGAGAATCTATGAAATTTCGCATACTGAAATTGTCTTGGCATTTTTGTTATAATTTACCTGCTTTTGTCTTTAAATTGTACAGTCTGCCTGGATGGAACCTTGCCGGGTTACCATTGGCATCCTGGATATGGATCAGGAGCAAATAGCTGGCTTATTCAGTTGGAGGTATGTGAGAGAGTATATAAATGATGGAATCATGGTAGTTATAACTTGTTTCCATAGTCCATCTCACATATTCTAGGATTTAAAAAAATTAAGCTATATCTGACGGACAAATTATGAAAAAGATGTATGTTTCTCTTAAATGTTCTTCTTTCTCATTGTTATTTATGCTTTTTTTTTCTGTTGTTTCTAGGTTAGTAAGCTGAATATGTAAGTCCTATTGATCCTTTTGGATAAAAGTTTGGATGCATGGCTAACTTTGCCAATTATCTTGTGGCAGGGAGGAGGATGGTGCAATAACATTAGAACTTGTGTCTACCGCAAAAAAACGCGACGTGGATCATCTAAATACATGGAAAAGCAGATACCATTTACTGGAATATTGAGTGATAAAGCTGAAGAAAATCCGGGTCTCCTTTTGAGCTTTATTCAAAAAAAATTTCAACTAAGCAAACTCTAAAAAGAATACCATTCTTGACCATCATCTTATATTATTACATATTAAAGTTGCAGATTTTTTCAATTGGAACAGAGTAAAACTTCGATATTGCGATGGTGCCTCTTTTACTGGGGATAGCGAAAATAAGGTAGAAATTTCTTGCATTTTATTTCACCCATAGAATGCCAATTTTGATTTTTTTGGGTGTTTTTTTAAAAAGATGAAGTCATACAAAAGAATACTGGGACCTTAAGTCACCAATGACAACCAAATCATGACCATGGAAAGCTATTTACCCTTAGTCATAAAATCTGGTGTCTTAAAACCTAGATTTGCTTATTCCTATACATGGATATTGGGAAATATTTCTGCTTGTCAGTGTTTGCTTATATTTGCAGGATTGACCTGCTTACCATTTACTTCCATAACTACCAAGGGGTTTTGCATTTTATTTTAGAGCTGCTAGCAAAAACAAATACTACAAGTTTTTTGTAAGAAAAAAATAGAAATCTTGGAAGAATATGAATAGCTTCAGTTTTGGATTTTAGCTATTGTTTCCAAGTGATTCAAATAATTGACTGTATATTCTATTGTAGATGCTTGAACAAGCATCTAGTTTTGTGAGGTTATCTTCAAAATTATTCTTCTTTTTGTGCGAACTAGATGCTAAAAATTAGGCTATTATGTCTTTAGGCTGCACAACTGCAATTTAGAGGCCAACGTATATGGTTAGCTGCAATGGAAGATTTAATGTCAAAAGGAATGCGTAATGCAAAGCAGGTTTGTATTTATCTTATTATGACCTTTTTTTTTTCTTTCAAAAAGAGTTACCCTGTGCATGATTATTTGTATATCTTTTACAGTTTGAGTGAAAAAGAGGGGGGGGGGGGGTTTGAACTTGGAATCTCCAATTTGGAGGTATAGTATGGCACGTATTAAGGAATGCCTCACCACCTTGTCTTTTTTTTTTTGTAACAAAGGACAACTATATTTCAGGCTCTTCTTTCGGGGTGTTCAGCTGGGGGTCTGGCATCAATTTTACACTGTGACGAGTTCAGGAACTTGTTTCCAAGAACTTCTAAAGTTAAGTGCCTAAGTGACGCTGGTCTATTCCTTGATGTGTAAGTATCATTATCCTTCAGAGTCTTGTTCCAGTAAGACATAGATTGTTCCTTAGTTCTATAGTTCTATATATATATATATATATATATATATATTATATCCTCTCTGGACTGTAGGGTTGATGTCTCTGGTGGTCGCACACTTAGGAGTTTATACAGTGGAGTGGTGGGCTTGCAGGTTTGATATTGATATTTGTATTTACATACATGTGGCTAAATAAATAGATGCAAAGTTTTTTGTATTAAATTTTTTTATATGCCTTTTTCTATCTTTTTCTTTTTTTTTTTTTTTATTGATGCTAAAGGATTTGATGAAGAGCGCACATAGACACATACAAAACAAAATATAAGTAATTTAAGAAAGAAAGGAAAAACTTATAATTTTATCGCTTCACCAAAGTTTGATTATTTAATGCTCAAGTCTTCTTGTTGATATCACAGGGTGTGCAACATAACCTGCCACGTATTTGCACCAACCACCTTGATTCAACTTCAGTACATCTCTTTTCTTTATTTCTGACCCATATCTAATTTGAGTGATTAAGAAGAAACATCATGTGAATTTGACACATGTTCTCTTGCTCTACTCAGTCTCACTTGCCTGAAACTTCATTCTTTCAGTGTTTCTTTCCTCAAAATCTAATCAGCCACATCCAAACTCCACTGTTTATTCTTAATGCAGCTTATGATTCGTGGCAGGTAATAGTCCTTGCCTACAGAATAGCATTATCGATTTATAAAGTAGGACATGATAATGCATACTGCTGTGCTTTATTTTCATTTCTTGGAAGCAGATTCAATCCAGTATAGCTCCACCATTGGCAGATCCACATGGTTATTGGCATGATTGCAGATTGAACCATGCAAAATGTTCTGCATCTCAGATCAGGTTTTTACAAGGTGATTCCTATGTGTGAAATTGATTGAGTTTTCAATTTTACATGCTATTCAACACATGATAGATCAGATTTAGTCAGCTTAAGTGAATCTCTTGTTCTGTGAATCAGGCTTCCGGACACAGATGCTTAATGCTATAAAAGGGTTCTCAATGTCTAGAGAGAATGGATTATTTATAAATTCATGTTTTGCTCACTGCCAAACAGAAAGACAAGACACATGGTTTGCTGATGATTCTCCTGAAATTAGAAACAAGGTATGTCTAGTAAATAACTCATATCAGATTTCATGAAGTCTATGTCATATGAATTCATATATTGGTTTCAGTTCGTTTTCTTACATTAAAATAATAGGGGGTCGAGCCAATGAGGATTTGGCTCAGCGGCAAGGAGGAAGCCTTAAAATTTTGAGGTCTTAGGTTCACTTCCTACTGTGTGTGGATTTGGTTCTACTTTATATTGAATTTTTCTAGTTATGTTCTAGTTTGTTGGTTGATTATTCAGTGATTTCTTATATATAGATGTAATATTTAATTATGATTGTAACTTCTCTTGCACTTGTAATTTCATCAGAAAATAATAGGGGTCCTCAAATTATAAATAGAATACCATGACCTTGAAGTTCCTTGAAAAATTCTCTTTCCATGGAGCCACTCAAAGCATTTCAAGTTGGTTTTAGATAAACCACAAGGTTTTATGTTTCCTCAACTTCAAGATTGCCAGTAAATCACCTTTGTGCTAAATTTACAATGTTTATCAACTTCAAGGTTTTAGATAAATTTACAATGTTTTCCCTCCTTCCTTTGTGCTAAGTAACTCACCTTAAATATCTCAAAAAAAAAAAAAAATCACCTTAAAAAAGAAAAAGTGGATTTTCCCTTTAGTCTTTATTAGCCCAAAGACCGACTTTCTTATCATCTTGTGATTATTTTGTAGGTGGTAGTTACCACAGTCGTTTTCAAGTTTTAACTGTATTGATTTGAATTTGCAATTGCTCTTCACGCTGTTGGAAGGTGGCCAGTACTCACAAGATTTATGCAAAGAAGAAAAGGGAAGAGGAAGTCACTTAGAAAGTGATGAACTTGATTTCAACTGACTTGCATAAACTTGCTGAGTTGTATAGGTATTTATGCTACTCAAAAGATGAACTCAAGACATTAAACACAAATTACACAAAAGACTGGTACATTCAACTAAATACATTCATCCATCTTTAACTAGGTTTATGAATATATAGATGCATAAATACATTACTATATTCAAGCAGAATCAGCCAGAAGTTGGTACAGTAAGAAAAGGAAGAAAAAGAAAACATAAAAAAGCCACTCTTTTCCTCGCAATTCTATATGTGGGCTTTTCAATATCCTTCCCCTACCCAACTGTAGCCTAACTTTCTTTCTACTACTAGAGATAGTACCCATGGCAATGGATGCCTCTTTATAGTAGTTTATTACTGAAATTTATTAGTGTGGTTCCAGCAGTTTTGTTACATATGCTTTCAGGTTTGCTTTATTTTGGCAACTGTGTTTGTTGTTTTTTATGAAAATATTTAGAGGTAATCTAATGACATTATAATTGATAATGCTGCAGCCAATAGCAATAGCAGTTGGAGATTGGTATTTTGACAGAGCAGGCGTGAAGGCCATTGATTGTCCGTACCCTTGTGACAAGACTTGCCACAATCTGGTATTCAGATGATTAGTTGGTTCAGTTCATATACATGGTGTAGAAGTAGTAGCATGTCATTTGAAGGATCCTGCAAATTCAATGAAATTGGGCACAAGACAATAAAAAGAAGGTTGCTGAGAAATGCAAATGCAATCAGCAAAAATCTTCTGCGATGTCTCTATGTGCGAAATAGCATTGCTTAATTGTTTTCCCACTCAGCTGAAGCTAACGGTTGATGCATGTTGTTCTTGCAAGCGGTTATATTCCCCATTGATATTTCATAGTGATACTATTATGTCCAGCTTCATTGGGTATTGCCATTTGCCAATCCCAATTCCTTAGAATTATTGCTATCAATTTAAACCGCCTGAAATTCTATAGACTGTTGCAAGCTCAAAATCAGCTTATGAAAAATTAAGAGAATTTTAGATAACGGAATAAGAGGAAGAAAAAAAAAAAAGATGAGAGAAAAAGAGTAGAAGAAGAAAAACAGAGGAAGAGAAAATTCAAAAAAAGAGAATGGATGTCATAATTGCATAACCGAATGAATTACATCCCGCTTAGCTGCCCTTTTTGCTAGACTAAAGGCCCCAATTCTCGGATAGCAGCTATTTTCCATGCAGAAGACGACAAGTCAGAAGTTTTATAGAATTTGAGCTTCACCGCTATAATACGAGCAAGGCGATTCTTTTTGGTAAATAGCATAAAATCACCTTATGATTTTAAAGTAATTTTTTAAAATTTAAAAATTGACGGTTGATCATTCTATGACATAATTTTTTTCTGCGTAGCTAATCACTGATTAAGGCCCTCCCTACAATTATAAAGTACAAAGATGACACTGGCTCTTGCTCCTTCTCTCTGCAAAGCATAAACTAAGGAAAAATAAATTGCCGATTGGAGGGACCGACCGCTACAACTATTTCTCTTCCACCCAGATGACGTAAAAGTTTTGGCCCGCCCTAAAGGAACCATATGCGCGGTATCCTCATATGATTTAATGGTATGAATTTTGCCACCTCGCAATTCACTGTGCTAATAAATATCCTCATTTGCGTCGACAGGTTAGTTTCTAGTTTCACCATGTCCTTGCGATAGTGCGGGTACCTGATCAAGAAAAAGTTAAGTAAAGAATGTAGAGCCTTTATCAGATTCAAAGTACTTGTAAAATTTTGGACTTCTAATTGATTGATGACTAGTTGGGTGATAGCTACTCGTTATAGCTGTAGGGCTTTCCCCAGCCACGTTTATTGCCTTACATGGCTAAACAAATTAATTATAGGTTTTATATATTTGATAGATTTCGAATGGAATTAATTAAAATCGTATAAATATATTTTATTTTTATTTTATTAATTAAATTAAAATTGTTATTTTTAAAAATTGACTGTCCTTAATTTGATTAATTTAGTTAATTAGATTTTTATAAATATAATCAAAATGTTTCTTCTGCAAGGTATCAAAGCATTCTAATGTTCATTATCAGTCCCCGTAAAAGCACTCAATTTTAGCCTGATGATTGTTCTAGACCACCTATTTTAAGCACCAGAAAGGCAGTGTATCAACAACGCTTCTTGGCCATAATAACCACTGATAAGAGGAAAGGCGAGGAAGAGGGGGCACAAGGATACGAAGTTAAGTAAGAATCATAAGCAGTTGAGACATGCAAGAATTTGCAAAAGTAGGAGAATTCTTACAAAAAGCTATCCACATGACCACAGATATACACATTTAATTAAATCCCTGTTTTTTATGAAACTATTCATACCTGGTGAGATGTTAAATCCCTGAACTTGGGAAAAAGCAAGTTCCAATTTCAACCGTTCTAGTGTTGTGAACTTGGCATGTGATTTGTGATTTGTGGCTTGGAATGAATGAAATATGAAACAGTGTGCTTCAATAACCCATTCAGTTAATCATTCGATTATTTCAATTATCTCCGTTTTTAAATGAAATTAATCAAAAATCAAAATATATTTGAAATTAAATTATTTTAGTAATCAATTGATTAATCAAAATATTTCGATTTAATCAATTAATTTAATTTTAATTGAATTTTGGACATTCATATATATATATATATTAATTTTTAACTTGTGCATAACGTATGTATAATTTTTATCTTTAAAACTTCATATCAATAAAAATTTTTTTGATATTATGTTAACAATGATAAATAATATTAATTTAATTTTGATTTTGATATAATACAAGTAAATTTTGGTAACTTTTTATATAATTTTGATTTTGATAACTTTAGATAAAATTTTAGTAACTTTTGATATAATTTTGATAATCATTGATAAAATTTTAGTAACCTCTTGATGTAATTTTAATAATTAATATTCTAATAACATATGATATACTTTTAGTAATCATTGATAAAATTTGAATTATCATATATTTAATAATTGATTCCTATAAGAAAGTTCATATTCGTTGCTAATATAAGATAATTTCTTTATATAGTAACAATATTATTTTATTCAAATTTAAAATTTTTTTCACTAAATTTTTATTAAATAGGTTCGTGGTAGGTTTATCCAAGTTTCCTAAGATAAAATTTCAAGTTTATTTTGTGCTAATAATCAAGATTCAATTCCTAACCACTTTAAGTCCAAAAAATTTATCAGATTGACAATTAAGTTATTATTAATATATTATTATATTATCAATGATTTATTACTAAACTATCAGTGATATATTATTAAATTATCAATAATTTACTACTAAATTAACATTAATTTATTATTAACTTATGAATAATTTATTACTAAGTTATAAATTATTTACTATTAAATTGTTAATAATTTACTACTAAATTATTGATGATTTGTAATAAAATTATAACTGATTTACTATTAATTTATTGATAATTTACTACAAAAATATCAATAATTAACTAATTTATGACTAAATTATCACTAATTATCACTATTTTGTTATCATTAATTTACTATTTAGTTTTTGAATATTTACTACAAAATAATCATAGATTTATTACAAATTAAGCATGATTCATTATCAAGTTATCATTACTTTATACTAAATTATCTACAATTTACTATTAAGTTATTTAACCATTAAGTTATTGATGATTAACTACTACTAAGTTATATTGATTTAGTTTTAAATTTCAATAATAAACTACTAAATTATCATTGATTTATTATTAAATTATATAATTTACTATTAAATTTATCAATTAATTACTACTAAATTGAAATTTACTTACTATTAAGATATAATTGCTTTTTTATTAAGTTATTAATAATTGACAACTAAATTATCACTTATTTTTATTAACGTATCATTAATTTACTAATATGCTATTATACTTTTAAAACAATGAAACATGGAATTTAAACAACCCACTAATAATATATGAGAAGATTTTCTTTTTATAAAATAATAATATTGTTTTATTTAAATTTAGAATTTTTTCACTCAAACCTTTTATTGAATAAGTTCGTGGTAAGTTTATCTCAGTCGTCAAAATGAAAGTTTTAACTTCGTTTCTATTAGTAACCAGAGTTCAATTATAGGCAACTTCAAATATAAAAAAGTTATCAATGTTTGATAATTAATTTATTAGTTATTTACTACTAAATTATCAATAATATTTACTTCTAATTTATGAACGATTTACCATTAAGTCATAAAATATTTATCATTAAGTTATGAATGATTTCTATTAAATTATTGGTGATTTACTACTAAATTATTGATGATTTATTATAAAGTTGTAATTAATTTACTACTAATAATTCATTAAAAAGTTATTAATGATTAGCTAATATACTATTGAATTATCATTAATTTATAATTAAATTATTAATAATTTACTATTATATTATTAGTGATTTACTGCTAAATTATTAATTTACTATTAAATTATAAATGATTTATTATTACATTTTTATATATTTACTATTAGAGTATCATTGAATTACTACTTAATTTTTGATTATTTACTACAAAATTGTCACTGATTTATCATTAAATTATCTGTGATTCATGATCAAGTTATTACTAATTTACATTAAATTATACATGATTTATTATTAAGTTATTACTGATTAACTATTATATTATAAATTATTTACTACTAAATTATATTGATTTACTTTTAAGTTTTCAATAATTAATTACTAAATTATCAATTATTTACTACTAATTTGTCATTGATTTACTATCAATTAATTATATTAAACTGAAATTGATTTACTATTAAATTATTACTAATCTACAATTAAATTATCATTGATTTATTACTAAGTTATCAATAATTAACTACTAAATTATCACATATTTTTTGTTAAGTTATCCTTGATTTAGTATTATGTTATTATACATTTACAACTATATTATAATTGATTTACTATTAAGGTATTATCATATATTATTATATTATTACTTATTTACTAAAAAGTTATCAATTATTTATTATTGAATTATTATTCATTTATTATTAAGTTATCATTAATTTACTATTAAATTATCGATGATTATTACTTTATTATGCTAATTACATTTAAATTTTCACTGATTAATTATTAGATTATTAATTATCTACTACTATGTTATCCTTGATTTATGCATATCCAAAAAGAAAGTAATCATAATGCATGTTAGATGATATAATTTGTAAGATAGTGAAAAAAAATTCAAGTTTAAATGATTTAAAAAGTATGAGTAAATGCTCTTAATTTACTCCGTAATTTAACATGTAATAATAAGTTAAAATTATAATTTTTATATTAATATAAGTATTAAAATTAAATTAAATAAATATATACAATATTTATTAAGTCAATATTTTAAAGATTTTCTTTAAATTTTTTAGTTCATGGTAAAATAGTAGGTATTAAGAAAAGCATTATTGATGATTTGATTGAATCATTAGTATATATATTTTCATACTTGTTAGCAAAATGAAATTGTATATAAAAGATTGAAACTTTTAAAGTGTTTTATCATCAATGGAAGTAATAAATTTTACCTTACGTTAATTTTAAGTATACAATTTTAAGTAAAAATTTTGTTTTATATATATGATAAAAGTAATATGAACTTATTTACTAAATAAAATTTATAAAAATTAAACAAACAATAATTTTAAAAAAATATTATCTTCATAATAATTACTTTTGCATTCTTCATAATTTTTTTTTTTACTAAATGAAAACATGGTATATTTTTAATTGTTGATTCATTCTAATTATAACCATTCAAAATAACTTTTTTGATATTTTGATGCCAATCAACTTCTCTATTTAAAAAAAGTAAAAAATATTTCGTATTCTTTATAAAAAATTTATTCTATTAAATGAAAAGATTGTATATTTTTAATTGTTTCTTCATTCTTATTACCATCATTCAAAATAGTTTTTTTTATATATATTTTGATGTCAATTAACTTCTTCATTTGGAAATAGAAAAAAATATTATAAAGGGTCATAACAACCAAAATAATGTTTAATTCTATGCTATCTTTATAAATGAGTTTGAACTATGATACGATTTCTTTCAAATGAAACATTTGAATTATCTTTTTTAACCTATATAGCACTAATTTGATTAATAAATGAACAATTATAAACTCATTGATTTAAATGAATATTTCTACAATATGAATTTTAAAATCTTTGAAAAAAAATCATTTAATCTCTCCAAAACTTGGGCATAAAGATTTTTTTTTAATTATCATCTGTAACTTTATTATTTTTGTACTTAAATTTTTATTGTGTTGTGTTTTCATTTTATTTTGAAATTTATTACAGGTTTCACAAAAGAATAGTTAAAATAGCATGGATTAATAAACTCAAACTTGAAACAATTCAAAATTCAAATTAAATATAAATAAAATTTTTACTTATTTTAAATTTTAATTTAATTAAAAATAATATAATACACATTATTATAAAAATGAACTAACTTAACTCAATTTTAATAAATTTTAAAATGTTAACAACTTAGTAATTATTTAAAATTCGACATGATTGAATATAATCAAAATCAAAATTGAAATAATAACCCAATTAAAATCCAATATTAGTGATTCATCTTCCGTAACAATTTAAATTTTTTTTATTCAAGCTTTTTTTTTCCTTCATCTTCAATGTTTTATTTTTATTGTCTTTGTGGTTAAATTAGTTAATTAATTTTAAGAGAATTTCTAAAGTGAAATTGAAATTATAAATAATTCAAAATACTTATTTTTTATTTAAATTTAGGACAATTTAAATCTATTTTTTATAAATAAAAAGAAGTATGTACCAATTATTTAGTCAAATGGGCTCAGATATATAAGTGAATAATTGAATACTTTATGAATAGAAGTAGATGATAAAACTTGACTTAATTTAATTAGTCACTGATCCTAAGTTTAAAATTTAACTCAAACTTATAAAAAGTCAAAATTAAAAACAATTGAAATACTAAATACATAATTAAATAAAGATTTATCAAATAAATTTTGATAATGAATTCCTTTAAATCACTTTTAAATTTAGTTAAATTATAATTTATAATAATTTTTGCTTTAGATAAAAAGTGATAATTACTTTGATAAATTTCAATTCTTTTGAACAGAAATTACCTAATATGATAACCTCGAAAATTTTATATAATAATTAATATTCTTCAACTAATATAAAAGAGATAATGAGTATATATTATTCATCAAATAAAAAGTTTCATATTAATCATAAAAAAAAATTGAAATCAATGTATTTGTATTTTTTTTTTTGAAACATCGTATAACACTAATATTTTTTGTCATATAGAGATGACAAAATTATATATAACTAATTAATCTTTCATTACATTTTTCTGCTTAAAATAATCTTTCATTGTGCTTTTATTAATTGAATATAATTGTACATTTTAACAACTAAAAGCTTAATTTTAATTTTAGTTTAAAATTTTTATTATACATAAATTTTTATTATATAAAATATTAAAATAAATAATTTTAAAAAATAAATTAAAATAAAATCCTACCTTGAAAGAATTCATCAAAATAATTAATTTTATTTCACTTAATAATTTTTTACTTACGATAATTAACGTTAATCATTTTACTTATAAAAAGAGTATAATAATAAAAAAAAGTAATTTAAATTAAAATTTTTTAAAAAATTACTAATGATATTTTGATCAATCACTTTTTACATTTTTTAAATTAAAATTTTATTAAGAGTATTTTAATCAGTCACTTTTAGTATTTTTTAATCTAATTATAAAAAAAAAGTCTAATAATAAAAAATTCATATAAAAATATTTAATAAAAATATTTTAGGCAATCACTATTAATACTTTTAAAATTAAATTTTAAAAAATTTAATTTTACAGAATCTCTATTTTTATTTTAGTTGATTTAAATTAAATTTAAATAAATTAATAAAAGTTATACATATTTAAAAATAAATTTATTAATTTACAAATTTATAAAAATATTTAGAGCCTTTACTATTAATAATTTTGAAATTCATACTTTTTATACACAGATAATATACTGCATTAATGACTTCTTTTACGAGGTGAAGCCAAGGAACACAACTACTCTTTGTAATTTCTTGCCCGAAAACCATTGAGTTCTGAACGGGAAAGTGACTTAAAGACTGTCAAAAAGGTGAAAACTATCTCCATCTATAGGAGACAATGATGGACACGCATTTAAGAAAAATATTCCCTTAAACTTTGTCTCAGAAAAGCATCGAAGGGCTACAGTCACAATCTCTCTGGACTTCGATTTCTATAAGGAAAAAGGGGAAGCCAATGTTGATTCAAACAAAAATCCATTTTTAGATTGTTCACAGAGAAAATTGCAATCAGAGAGACAAAGAATTTTAAAAAATAATTGCAGATAATTAATCCGTTAAGGAGCAAGCCTTATTCTGAAATTTTAACGTGTTTCGTGGACAAGGATGATTATATTCAGTAACATTGGGACAAGAAATTTTGTATCAGGCACATTTATAAAACAACAAGATAATTCTATATGGCACACACCTATAATTCCAGAAGACTTTCCCTCCCAGCCCAAGCCATTGCCAGCTGAACTTATGTATTTCTCTCTTTGCTTGAATTATAAACTAAAGAAGCTAAAGGGTTTGTCCAAAGGCCACAGCTAGTCTTTGGAAATCCTTTGCATATATATCTGAAACCCGTGAAGCTTGTTGGTGCTGATTCTGAGGCCAAGTGTTACTTGACCTGTCTGTTAGGTGTAATTGTGGTTTAACCTCATTGTACATGGCTTGAGAGGATTGGTACTGCATTACAGTTCCTAAAAACAATGGGGTATTCAGGTATTCGGACCACTTAATGTCATCTGGATCACCTTCTAGTGAACGTATTTGGACTCCTTGACCAGATTTTCCACAATCCGGCGGTTCCCATGAGAAGAGGTTGCTCTCAAAGAAGGTAGTGTTGCTTTGCAATTTCAAACTGCTACTGCTTCCATTGCTGCTACTCATATTGTTACTGTAGCAGCTTTCTTCCCAATTCCGCACCCCTTTGGCATCACGAGAAGGATTATCATAAGGAAGACTAACTGAAGGCTTTACACGTATTGGCGTTTGGAAAATTGAGCTTGACATAGTTGGGGAAACTGTTTGTCTCAAACTGAAATTGAAATTGGAAATCATTTCAGAGCAACTGGAACTTGGATTGAAGCAGAGTGAAGTACTTTGACTCATTGACTGCCCAATGTTGGGGGCATAATCCAACTTCTGGAAAGGGAAATAGCCCAGCAAATCAGATGGCCTGCAATACGTGGTGGTGTTGCTCTCAGGGGTGGTTGCAAACCTATCTAGTAAAAAGTCCTGGGTGTGAGGATTACTTGTAACATTAACATTATTGTTTTTGCTGTTACCAGTGTTATTCAGATTGGAATTGGAGGAAACTTCAAGGGGGTAGTTCTTCACCACTATAGAAGGTAATTTTGAATCCATTACTTCATAGAGGTTCAGTTCGTTGGATCCCACAGAGGTTTTTTCATTGTTATTGTTGCTTGTCCGCAGATTCGCCTTGTTATCGTTCTCAACCTCAGAGAGTGGTTTGTGCGTGTTAGGGTCAATGCCTCTTTGCCTAAGTTTCTTCTTAATGCAGGAATTCCACAAATTTTTTATCTCATTGTCGGTTCTTCCTGGTAGCTGAGCTGCAATCTGAGACCATCTGATGAAGAAGCAAGCGGTACGCCGGTACCATAGCATGAAATCGATTATCTAACAAGCACAAGGCACGAAACAAGAACAGGAACCACAAAAAAAAAAAAAAAAAAGCTTTGCAGTTTTCTAAAGAAAATAATCAGTACCTATTGCCAAGGACTGCATGGAGTTCAATTATCAAGTTCTCTTCCTGCTGAGAAAAGGCTCCTCGTTTCAAATCAGGCCTCAAGTAGTTAATCCACCTAAGCCTGCAGCTCTTGCCACATCTTTGCAAGCCTGAAAACATAAATGAAGAAGAAACACAAGGGTTTTAATTATCTTTACTTCTCTATGTTTTGCAATCTGCTTGAAGTTAAATACAACAACTAATATTGGAGAAAAGAAAGTACCTGCTAGTTTAGGGACAGAACTCCAGCAGCCATGCCCATGCTTAGTAATATAATTCAGAAGTTTCTCATCTTCCTCAGGAGACCACAGTCCTTTCCTTAGCTTCTGCTTGTAACAGCAAGAGTGCCTCCCCATGTGGAAAGCAACTCACCTTCAATAATGCTGGGGAAAATTAATTTTGGAGAAAAAGAACTTTTCGATATATAGTGGCATGCTTTTTAGGGCGACTTTATTTAACTCGTCAGCATGGAAAGAACAGGCTTTAGAAGGGATTCTAGTTCTAGGTAGGAGGAAGGGATTAGGGATATATCATATATGTGGAGAGAGAGGGAGAGGCGATAAGGAAATCAGGAAAATAAAAATGGCAGCCTGGTAGGGAATCAAATTAGCAGGAGGCTCCTCGATAAGAAAAGTCACTTTCAAGAGGGTGATTGGATTTGAATTTATTTTTTTTGTTTTTTTGAATTGTAAGGTGGAACTATTTCTCATGCACTGGTTGATCCATGTGAGCTTCCAGGACTAATACAGGTATATGAGGAGAGGGCTCTCCTCAATATATGGACGGTCCAGATGCAACTGTACGTGTACGAACTGAGGGAGAGGAGCATGGGGGCTCCAATAATTTGACTTCCATGTGTCTCGTCACAGTTTGGAAATTAAAAGACTTTTGGCAGCAGTGGTGGGGCTTTTGATAGGTGGTAAAACTATGCTTACATAGCAATATAAAAGGTTTGTTATGGAATGAAATAGGCAATATATAAATTCAACTGGGAATAATATATACAATGATACAATGGTACACTTGGTTATGGATATCTTTGGAGGACTTACACGATTGGAATGCAAGAGCTTTTGTAGTTAGTATTGGTAATCAAGCAATACTTATTTCAACTAAATTTACCTCTATATTCCCAATGCAAAAATCAGCCACAAGAATTGAAAAAGGGGAAATTTCTTGCACACAAGAAATACCCATGATTAGTTAACATTTTCTGGTATGGTAAATTATTGCATTTAATTTGAAGATAACATAAGCTATATACATTCCTTAATTTATAGTCTTGTTTTATTATGAAGTTTCAATATATGATTTATATTGTTTTTCTCCATTAGTGTTTCTTTTTGTCAACAAACTGCTGTGACATGTAACTTTCACCCTGACGCTCAACTTCTTTCTTTCTTTTTTTTTTTTTTTTTTTTTTTGGCTTTTGGGTAATTTCCCAAACCAGGATGAGTTTGGAAAGTTTCATAAATTAAAACAAAAGTATATATTTTCAACAACTTTGAAAAATAGGGGCGGCATATTCCTTCTCTCTTGAAAAAGCATTCAAAATCTACCAATCCCCAAATGATTAATATCTGAAATGCCCATCTTATGTTTTCTATATATACTTTAATATACCGATTCCATCTCCATGAAGGGCAATAGCCAAATAAATTATAAAAGGAAGAAAACTGGTGTACTACCATATATAAATGTAAGAATCACAATAATGCAGATGTCCTCTAATGGATTGAGCATGTATTTCAAAAGAGCTCCACGCGAACAGGACAAATTGGGATGAATCATCACAAATTACTGATATACTCAATTTGACAATGTTAATTGCACTATTCAATGTAAGCACTCTCTCTCTCTCTTGACACAATGATTGAATGGAACGCGATTATTCTCTTCTCATCAATCTTAATTTAATTATTTATCTATATATATATATATATATGTTGTATTAAAAAAGAAATGGATGCACATAACTGTATTATCATCATTCAGTATTGAATTAATAAAGAATATATACATAGAACGTACCCAATAATTGACCAAGGGACAAGTGACACAAAAGTATGAGAAATGATGAGAGAACTAGCTGATTTCTCTTAAAGTTTTGATAGGAAAAAGGAAATTTCTATGCAAGGTGATGTATACATGGTTTACAAACATCCAAACTTGTGAAGAGCTCCCGTGATAGTTAATTTTTTTTTTTTTTTAATTTAAGCACGTTCTGGGGTTTAGAAACAATTAATTAGAATCGAAACAATAATTGGAATAATAATTAATATGACAATTAATAATTTTAACCTTGTGCCTGCGATGGCCTGTCTCCCTATTCTAAGTTGTAATATTACGAAGTGTCTTTGACCTTTAGCAATGTCCTGATTCAGGCATCCAATTTGATATTTAAAAAAAAAAAAAAAAAGAAGTGACAATAAAAGATCCTTGTAATCTCCATAACTCATCATACCCTTATAATCTCATCTTACTACATATAGCAGAATATATGAGCTGTTATAACGTGTTTTTTTTCCAATTATTCTTCTCTTCTCCAAAGTAAATAATAGGATAACTTTGCTGTCATTTCGGTTGCCTTCTATTTGTTTAGGGTCCGTTCGGATTCAAACAAATCCAATGCGGTACAATCAGAATTGGTGTATTTATTTTGCATAAGGATAATTATCATTAAAATAATAATTAAACTCTATTTAATTTAACAATTCATATAAATATTTTTTAAATATTTATTTATAAAAATATTATTGGATATACATATAAATAATTTTAGTACATAGCACGAAATATTATTTACAACTCCCTTTCTGTAGTGCATAACCGCAACATTGTTACCATACGAATTCTCCTTGTTCGCCCCTCTTTTTGTGCTTACTTCAAATGGTGCAATTCGGCTTAAATGATAGGGTTTGCCATAATGGTAGCATTTTAATTTATCTCTGAACTTAGACCGGTTTCTGGACTTGCTACATCCTTTAGCATTCGATTCTGGTTCTTCCACTGTTTCCAATAACAACTAACAAAAGCTTGATTTCCAGTGTCAGTCTCTTTTTGGCTTGCTTCATGATTAAACATACCGTCTTTGTCATCTTCAAGGTCACTAACGAGCTGAATTAATAACAATCACAAGCAGAATAAATGTAAGGCAATGAACTTAAAGAAACAATGTTTTCATTTCATCATCCATAATGAGTGTTTTCATAGTAATCATCTAATTAAACAAGGCTTGAAAGCCACTCAAGTACTCGAGCAATATACCGTCCCTCCTTGTACTGTAGAGTATCAAGCTGTTAACAATTATATGTGATCTGCTATCGTTAGCTTCATATTAAATAATTTGAAGCTGTTAACTTCACCATTGAATCCACATCACCTTCGATGTTTTCAACTAGCAATCAAAATATATATATATATATATATCATCGTGTGCTACAGTATCGTGTTATTACTATTCACAGTATTGCTACAATGGGCAATACAGCTACAATGTCTTACAGCTACAGTGGCGCTTTTGTTACAGTTCTATCGACTCGAGATGTAGCAATACCTCCGATACCAATTGTAAAAAAGTTTGCTTCAGCCCTATTACCACTTACTGGATATTTTCCGAGAGGATGTTGAACATATTTGATAAAGAAACTACACGGGAATAGTTTCCTTTATCACCACCACCCTACATGCTAGAAAACTATTCCCATGTAATTTCTTTTCAAATAAAAATATGTTCAACATCCTATCACAATATATCCAACACCTAATTCATTATCCTTGTCTATATAGAGAGCAATCCTCTTGTCTTGGGCCAGGATCTTCTATTGACTTGTTTAAGGCTTTAAGGAACATGGAGACGAGGTTATTGACGTTTTGCGATAGAGATCAGACCAGATATGTACAAAAACACTGATAAACATGTTGATAGATACAGTTACATGAAATGCTTGGGAACGTATCTAATCCAAAATCAGCTTTTAAGCATCGATTTTTGTATATTTTTTCACAACCTGTTGAGCTGGGATTCCTTTTGTGTGGCTAAATATTACTAGAAAAGCTATTACATGGAAACTCCTTTCTCCAAGAGTTTGTCTAATATATAATGACTACATTAAGTGGGACTTTACAATGAGGAATATGCATCAGTAATCTAGGCAGGGCAATACCGCACTTAGTAACTTCAGCCAATGGTATGATTTATTGCAGCTTTTGCAATATCGTGGATATATATAATAGAATTTAGGTTAAGTTTCAGATTTACCTTTTGTTTTGGGTTAAAGGTTTGTGATGATCATTTTCCATTCTGATTGGATGAACTCATGTATTTCTTTCCCGTTGAATAAAAATATTTTTTTCCTCTCCTTTAGAAAAAAGAAAAAAAAAAAAAAAAAAAAAAACTCAGCCAATTTTAAGGGTATAAAACAGATGGAATTCCCAACTAGTTTTGCAAGAGAAAGGCCTATCCTGCGTTGACCTGTCTAAATTATGCCTGGACGATCACTGTTTAGACCTGTTCATCATCTTTTCAAATATGAAAGTCCATTTTGAGAGATATTAAATAAAAAATTAAAATTTGTTAAATGAATTTAGACATAATTTTTAGATTCGTTGAAATTTAGGATCAAGCTTTAGATAGAAAATTTAAAACTCAAACTCGGCTCGACTTGATCTGAATTTAAATATATAAAAATTATTTATTTATATATATATGAAATATATATAAATTAATTCACATATATATAAAATTAAAAATATAAATTATATATATAAATGATGTAAAAATAAAATAAAATTTAATAAAATATATTTTTAATTTTTAATTTATATATATATGAATTGAATATAATTTCATTAAACTTAATTTAATCATATTTTTTAATTTTGTATTATATAAATTAAGTTTAATAGATGAGTTTGAGATTTATTTTTTTTTAATTTGAGCTGCATTAAAAAAATTTTGATATCTAAAATTTTGAATCAGATCTGAATAAACATATAAGCTATTAATATCAAATAAGAATCTAATCCAAATTCAATTCAACTCGGTCTATGAACATTTCTACTAATGTTGTATTTTGTTTAGAGGTGTCCTCCTAATAGTAACCAAAAGATCTCACTATAAAAAAATCAACTTCAAAAGCATTGCGCTATCACCATGCCTAGACTGAAACTTTAGGCCCCATAATCAGCTTAAGCAATAGTATGATGGAGCAAATTTTATCATTGATCACTCAATTTTAGTATGTTTAAATTAGGTCACTGAATTTTGTTCACTATACCAAATCTAATCACCTTAATAGATTTTATTACGAAGTTAACAAAAAAAAATAATAATAAGGTGGCTGTCATGTAAGTGACCACATTAACATCATAGTGGCTATAGTTGTTTTGAGGTATTAGAGTAAAAACTAAGCATTTAAGAATATTGATGATTTAGAGTTAGGCAAAAGCCCTTTTGGGGAAATTTTTTTTTTTATGTTTGTCTAATTAAAGAAGCTAATGTGATATATATAAAAATGTGGTAGTTGCTGTGGCAAGTTGAGTAGTTACCATGTCAAATTTTTTGTCAGTTTTTTGGATGAAATCTTTTAAGATGACTAGATCTATAATAGATCTTTTAAGATGACCAACTAAAATCTAGTGATCCAAATGAAATTTTGATTAAAATTGAATGGCCAATCTGGCAAATATGATACTTAAAATAGTTTTTATGCTATTTCTGACACTACAGGGTATTATAAATGGGGGAAAGAAAACAAAAACTAAACAGAATGTTTGAGAGAAAGCGAATAGCAAGTCAGAGCTAGCATGAAGAAGTTTATGCATTAGGCTTAGCAAGCTAATAATGCCTTAGCAGAGTTGTTGAAGTGTGCGATTGGTATGTTCACTAATTAGACAGTATTCGCATTCTGAAAAAGCATTGTAATCATATAAGCTGAAAGAAGAAGAATAGAAAAAAAACTGACTAGAATTCTTCTTGAACTATAGTACCGACTTGCATGGAGTGGAATAGAAAGAAGTCCTTTACCTATCAAAATCATTGATCGGTGGCAGGTTTTTGACTGCCCGCATCACCTCACCAAGACATTTGTCAATGATAGTAACACATTAACACTTTGGTAAAACAAAGTATACTTGAACAAGGTTAATATTCTGTATCTTAAGTGTGGAGTTGATGGGAAATCCATGAAATCATTAAATTGATGAAGAAGAAGAAAATAATCAAATGTCAATTGAAATTGAGGAGACAGAATCCAAATGCCCTTGAAAATAGAGATGCCTCTTTTCATTATCCCTGAAGTTATCCTTTTGCTAGGCTAACTGAGGGACAGACAACTAGTTGACAAGAAAGAGTAACTGTTTATGCTAAATAAATAATGGAATCATCCTTATTGCTTGGTCAATATTATTATAATGTTTTTCAGGAAGAAAAACAGAGGAAAAAGGATAAAGTAACTCTTGGAGCAATAGTAAAGACCACCAAGGTAACGTAGGAGGGACTGATCTATCTAGCTCATACTATAACTTTAAGGCCTTCTATCAGAATCTCAGCTTACCTTCCGTAAGTGCTCAGAAATGGATCACTGACAACCGCACTCTAACTGTCTATATTGTAGAATAAAAAAAAAATCCCCTTCATTTCATCTTCACTTGTACTTTAAATTATGTTGTACAGCTTACAATCGGACTCCGTAACTCGTGACAGCGTAGACCAGCTTTTCCATCCTTGCAAGTTACAACAAGGAAAAGGTTTCTCATATATAGTCATTTGGATTCAAACCTCAGCCGTTTTCCATAGGGCGGCGGAACCCAATTTCTTCCACGATAAAGCTGTCTTTCAGCCACTGGATAATTTAATTGAGGAGAGTGGGTATTAATTAGAAGCATGAGAGACAAAGTTTTTGGAAACATCCCACATTTTTTTGCCAGACAGCTGATTCTAAAGGGATTGAGAAAAGGTCCATTCAAGATGACCTTAATACATACATACGTCCTAATTGGCCCATTGACACTAGTCCGAAACATAAGCACATGGATATCGCATAAGTTATATAGTTAAATCACAACTAAACTTACTTTAGTCTTGTCAATGCAGTGAGTGATGATGACTGGCATATTATGTCTATGTCACAGCCTTGCTCGCCATTTATGGAGCTTTAAGATCTTAATAACAATCATTAATTCTTAGTTAAACACTACAGTACCTTCCACTTTTGATGTCTTGGATTAGTTATCTAAAAGCTGTTAGCAACATGTAAACATGTGTAAAGGGAAGAGTTGTGGCGTTTGGTTTGTGTAAAGGCGGAGGGGGTCATGGAGGCAAAATTATGACAATTCTAAAAGCTCTTTAACTCCATCAATTATACAAGGCCTTAATAAGGCCTTTAATCTAAACCCCATCAATTATCGAATGCTTTGTCTGGTTGAAATTTTCCTTATGTACTCCATCTTTGAATAATTACATGTTTGCCTTTTGCTTTGTAGTGGAAATGATTGTCAACTTTCTTCCCGCATTAACATCATTGCTTTTCATGCCCCTAAGTAAATTGGAGATTGGAGGACTCTCAGTTGAGTCTTCTCAATTCTTAAACAATATAAGCACAACTTGTATTGTATCAAGCACTAATTGGAGCATGCATAACCCTGTTTGATTAAAGGTGTCAGCTGCTCAATGTTCACAAAAAGTAAAACCCTCGGGAAAACTAGCACATGAACATGAATTATTCAAAGATGGGACACCAGTTACATTTAGTTATATAGGCACTTCACAATATTTTCTTCACCTATCCTGACTGACTCACCCTTGTATCCAAAAGGGGATTTTCTGTTTTTTTAATGGTGAAGTCCATTTTCAAAAGAAATTTCTATCTGATTCCCCCTATGGGAACTTGCTGAGCGCAGATCCGTCATGCCTTTCATTAATTATTTTAGTTTTGCTCGTGATGAGACCTGAAAAGCATGCAGGAGGTATTTAGAGGACATTAATACCGAGTAACAAAGATCAAGTCCAAGGTTTACGGAAGACAAAAGGCAAGAAGATCAGAAAAATGAAGAAGAAAATTTTCACTATAACAATTAAGCACTCTTATTGATTAGTATAAACATAATACGGATTCTAATAGTAACAAAAGTTAGGATATCGATTGTCCTGTCGGCGGAATATTATTGTTGGATTTCTCACGTAAATATATAAAGAAGGAAAAAAAAAAAAAGAATTTACTACATTAGGTTAGGATAATCAATAATGGTGCATGTATTAATTTTACTGCATACAGTTTTAGTCGGGTCGGGTATAATATATAAGAAATTGAAACATTCCTTTGGTATGCGTTTTGTTAGAAGCCTCTACTCTACCGAAGCAAAGGCAGTCGTATAAGGTCTGTTCCAAGGATTTAAAGCAAGCTTGAGTTTTGAAGCATTGAAGAGAAGAGAAGAGAAGAGAGAATAATTCTTTTGGCAAGTGACAGCTACTCTTCTGTGCCATCCCCTTGATTTAGAGAGAAAAAGACGGTAAATTTTGGCGAAAATGCATCATTGTATGCGCGAGAGAACCGAGAATCAGCTGGCCAACAGGTATCATATATCCATAGAAGGGGGCAAATGAAGGGAAATGAATCTGAAAATGAGCCAACATCTGAAACCACGGATATCAAACGCTATAAAACTTGATGTGGTAGCATGTTTTATGCTTTATATGTTTATATGTGATCGTTTAATTCTCCAAGCCAACTACCAAATTATGTATCCTTACCATAAGTATCATGATCTCAGTGCTTATAAAGTCCAGGATATCCATGTTTACAGCATTTACTAAGAACCCTAAGAACTATTTAATGAAGGTAATTCAATTCCGAGAGCAAGTTGCAACCTGAGAAGGCCAATGATAAAAAATAAAAAAAAATAAAAAAGAAAAAAGAAAAGCTCGAGAACAATAGAAGAATGATAATTAGGATATAGAAATCTTTAATGCAAACAAGGGTCTTGGAGTTATGCAGGACTGAATCTAACTAATGGAAACAAGCTCGAGTACTCCGTGACAGATTGCAAAACTAATAATGCTTGGACATAAAACTTTGTCCACACGTGATTCATGTCTGCATTCTGACTTTAAGCAATGGAAGTGCATGTATACCTTCTGTAATTATTTAGAGACAGTTAAAAAGGCCCTGTTTAAAGCTATTTAGATATAAACTGAGTTGTAATATTAACCCTTCTCAGCCTTTAGACATCATCTGTGAAGTTGTATTGGTTAATCTGTCCACTGTTTTCACACTAAAGCACACTAAAGCATAAAGTTTCATTAGCATTACTGATCCAAAGAACCAGATGTAGATGAATATACTCCTGACACAAATATCTGCTTTAATTAAACGTGAAGATGTTAGGCAGGTTCCAGAAAAAAAAAATAGAAGTAAAGACTCTAAGGTTTATGGCTTTAAGCTAATCAAAGAGTACATCAAGGACAGAATCAGCAATATACAATAGTAAACTCTATAAATTTTTACATTCTTCATGATAGTAAAGTTTCAGCGCCATGTAAATCATGAATATCATGAACTATATCAAATATTCCATCCCTGCTGCATTCAGGAAGCCGAAAAAAAAATTATAGATAATCACACCCACAATTCATGTATCATACTTCACAGGACTAAAATATGCTCAGAGAGACAAAGAGAGACTGATAGCCAAATATGTAACAGAAAATTATTATCATTTCATCAATTCAAAGAATTAGTTACCCTGAGGTCTACACAAACATTTGCATACATGCTGTTGAGGTATTTATCTCTTAGATAGACCAGCATTATTTGCATGGATCATATAAATGAATGTACATATGCAAGAAAAGATTTCAAGTCTCCTCAACATACCAAAATCTGTGCAAATTGTGACTGTATTGTCCTGAAATTAGTATTCAGTTGATCATCGTAGAGGTTCAATCTCAGAGAGAAAAAGCTTCAGTATCCATAGTAAGCAAAATGGATTCCTCTCCTCTAATGAAAAAGTTAACAATTATAACCTGCACTTTGAAGAGGAAAAGTGTTCATACATTCTTCAAGCCACAATTTGATGATGCAGATATAAAATTAAAAGTAATCAGACCTATCAGGTACTTTTTCATTTCCATAGGCTAAAAGGTGCAGTACCAGTGATTTCTGTGGCTTGACCATTCTCTTGTACCATAGCTGGCTGTTCAAAACTTTCATTTGTCATTGGGCACTGGCATCGCAAATGATATCAAATTTGATTAGATTCAGCCAGACTATGACAGGAGGCAAATCCATCAAAATATTAACATATTTGGATGGGTGACAAGTTATTAGAGTCTGACATTCTTTTGTTATCCATATCTGTATACGTAAAATAAAGCAAAAAGTAATAAACTTAGGTGCCTCTGCATATTTGTATATACATATTCCAATTCCTTCTGTTTTATAAGAAGCATAAAACTTCTTCATTGATGAAAAGAAAAAGGATTTCTTTAATCTTACCCCAACAAGAAATACTGGTCAGCTTTACCATGAACTTGTCTACTTGGAAATAATTCAGTATCTCATTAACTAGTCATGAAGTTTATGCTTCTATAACATGTGAAATAGCTAATTTGTCTTTCACCAATCAGGAGAAATAAAGCCTCAAGGCAACCTTCTCCAAGTGGCAATTAAAACCTGCTTCAGCAAATACTAAAGCTTTTCTTTTCCATTTTCAAAAAAAAAAAAAATGTGACTTATAAAAGGAACAAAAAATTCTCCTAACCTGAGTAGATGTCTGGTTCATTGAGCTATTGGCTTTAGCGTTCTGTGCCACTTGTGAGTTGATATTCAGAGGTGAATCCTTTGAACTAGAAGCTGTACCTGAATCCGTATTGTCCATAGGACCTACCAGTCCACAGGCACTCAATCCCATAGCTGATTTCATGAGATGCCCACCAGAAATAGGAATCAATGGTGCACACGGCATTGACATTGGAAGTCCTTGACCAGGAAGCCCATATAACTGGAGGTTCGGTCCTGCCATCCCATGGAGAGCAGTTGGACCTGATGTATGTGGGCGTGGGCCCGAAAAAGGAGCTCCAGGGATTGGAGGCACCTGAACCATAGGACAAGCAGAAGATCCAGCATTCATGTCAGGCAATGGCATCCCAAAACCCATACCCATACCCATTCCTACACCCATGGGTGAACAATGAACCACATGAGCTGCATGTATGTGTTGCATTCCAGTTGGTAACATCATTGGAGACATATATAAGCCAGCTCCCATAGACATAATCTGCATAAGGTTTGGTAGTTGATAAATTGAACTTAACATGATTACCCTTCAAAAAATCAAAAATTCAAATTTACACCGAAACAGGATAGTAGCCACATTGGATGTAGTGAGGTCACTTGAATCCACTGAATTATTAAACTCTTTAATAATATATGTATTAACATAAGATCAATAATAAATTGACCCAAAAATTTAAGGATTAACTGAACTCACTAAAAAGGAAATTCGAGAATCAGTATAGAATCCAGTAATATAATTTGAGATCAATACATAATTAGCGAAAATAGAGATCACAAAAGGAGTAGTAAAGACAAGGAAAATATTATTATGTATCCACTAGCTTTTTTAATACTAAAATTAGTTTTGATTTTGTCAATTATGACAACAGGTATATAAAGAAAACTATTTCAGCAATGAAATTAGTTAAGAATTTGTTACTTGAAACCAAAAAGAGATGGCGTGATAATTGTTTGATTACGTATATTGAAAAAAAAAAAAACATTTGATACATTAATGATGATTTTTCATATTCTTCATGAAAACTGTAAAAGAATATTGTTACATTGAATATTTTCTTTTGAATTATTATTCTTTGTATCAGTGGTGAAATTTTAAATTCTACAAGTGAAATTGAAAGGTTGCTATATGTTCATTTAATAATTAACAAATTTATTATTTTTTAAATAAATCTTAATGGATACATGTTATCGAATTGTGAAATTGGAAAACACCACCAGTCCACTGTAATATAAGATAACTGTCCTCATATTTTTGCTATTTGCGCTTAATTTTTGTAATGACATTATTATTGTTTAAAGATTATGTATGAAACATGTTATATTCATATACATTGTTATTGGTTAAAGATTATGTGTGAAACATGTCATATTCATATATTTGTCTAGGGAAGGGATCAAGTTACACCAAAAAAGTTTAACTCATTTTTAACCTTTTTTCTAACCATTGATTTCAATAGATTTAAGAAAGGATTAGACCCTTCTTTTTTTTTTTTTGTCTTTTTAATTTGTCTCTCTCATCCCTATTAAAATCAATAATTAAAAAAAAAGTGTAAAACCTTTTAGTTTTACACTGGTGTAAGTTGATCCTCCTCATTTGTATATTTTAAAAGATAATTATTGGGTTCCATTTTTGTACATTTCTTTTTTTACTTTCATGGAGATTAAGGAAAAAAAATTGGATTTTTGTGTATTTCATATTAAAATTTTTTATAAAATTGATATTCCATGAATTTTATAGAAGAAAAATAAAAAAAATCTTGAAAATAATATGAAATAGAAAATAAGAAGTGTTGGTGATTAAAAAAAAAAAAAGAGACAAGAAATGAAAGAAAATATAATTTTAGGAGATTCAACAAAAAAATCCAAAAAAAAAAAAAGTGATGGGAGAAGTGTATAATAGCTTTTTGACCAACTTGGTATGACTTCTGGCTATGCAACTGCACTGAAAAGAAGAGTAATAGTTAGAAATTGGGAGGAAGAAGAGAGAGATCTTACCTGAACCTGTACTTGAAGTGTCTTAAGATATTCAATTGCCTCATCAAGCATCGAAGCTTTGTCCACCTTGTAATGTCAAAATGTAAAAGTCATCAGTATTTAGAAAAGAAAAGCTACCAGGTCTTTATTGGTCTGTTTTTGGTTCAATCACAAAGCCATTTAACCCATGTCTAATGAAATTAACTAAAGATGCAGTCAAAGATAAGAAGTATGAATAAGCTTTCTGTTTCAAACTACTAATAAAATAAACAAGGAGTCAAGGATATGCTGAGCTCATTGATTCACAATCACATCTTTTCCTAAGCAAAATTCTTTGATTTAATTTAAAAGAGAACAAATGTTAGAAGTAATTAAGGACCTAATGAGTTGCCAACCTTATTGCAGTTTGGTATTAGCTCCTGCAAAGCACGCATCTTTTCATTTATCCTGTCTCTTCGTCTCTGTTTGTGGAAGTCCAGATCTTACAATTCAGAAACAGCCATATGAAGTACAAATTACAAATTATGGAATTTACCAAATGTTCTTCTCACCCTTTCAGATAAATTATGCACTTCTGCTGCTCGGCTTCTCTTAGACCCCGTACCTCCTCGAGCAGGAACTGCTTTTTTCACACCGACAGATTCTTCTTCAGCATCCTGCACATAAGTTGGTTACTTGGTTTTATTGGCAAAGGAAAAATGAATTAAATGCACAGCAAGACATAAACAGAATCAGATGCTAAGACTTACTTCGCTAGGACATCCTGACTCCTCATTATCACAATTTTTTCTCTTCAAATTATATACCGGATCATCACAAGCTTTTTCTACACTATTTCCAGAGCAAACAGAGGAAGCAGCAAGCACAGGCTCTACAGCCTTATCACCATCTGGCAGTCTTTTAGAAGCACGTTCACCAATAACTTGACTAGGGTTTCTATCATTCTTCAGGACATTTTCTTCGCAGATGGTATCTGTTGGTTCAGCAGAAACTGGTTCGTCTAGAGAATTAGCTTCAGATTCTTTTATATCAGTGTTCATCAGCACTATCGTAGGTTGGCAATGTGAAAGTTTTTCCTTCTGTAGCCCAATATTTGAATCAATGAGCGTGGTATCAGCAGCGTTGCTAATACTGACAGCAGCCCCCTTTTCCTTGCTGCCAATCCTTTCAATGCTAGCCATAGCACCTATGTTCTGAAGACTAGCTTTAACAAGAGCAGCAGGACGCGAAAAATTGGAAAAATTCATCAACACAGTATTATTACAAGGCAATATGGGATCTTTTTTCTTCATCTTAATGCCAGGCAAAGCCTCATCTGATGTTTGAACTCCCATTGAATCTCCGCAAATGGCATGGTGGGCGGAGGTATTACCCAGGCTATTACCAATATTCTCCAAAATTCTTGATCTAAAATATGGAGAGGACGTTTGACATAGCTGTGTGCATAATAGACTGGTACCACTTCTGGGCTTAGTTTCACCATCTGCAGGTCTAGGAACCTTTGACAAATTTCTTTGTTCAAAACCCGCACTATCATTTAGAAAAACAATACTGGAATCTCTAATGGATTGGCTGCTTCTATCAAATGATGCAAAGTTACTATGAGTAGGGGTCTCATTTGCAGTGACCCCAGATAAGTCAGGCAAGAAATCAGAATATTCATTCTGTAAAGATTGATCCACTGGGTAGTTCAACCAAGGCACCACTTCATCATCTTGATTCAAGCCCATTTCACCAGACGGCACTGACATAGTAATTTCACCCAATGCAGAATCCATCCCCCCAAACTTTCCCATTTTTGTATTAGTTCCTCCATTTCCTGTATCTCTATCTCTGGTCTTAGGAGTGTGCAATGGTAAAGAATGAGATAGTAAGCTGTTACAAGCAGTAATCTTTCTAGCTCTATTTGACTGATCTTGCATCAATATTTGACCATTTTCCCATACAAGTTCAACAAAGTCATTCTCAGGTCTGCATTCAAAAACATAGAGAGAAGGGGAGACAACCAAATAAGAAAGATTGCATATGATTCAATACCAAGAACAAAAGAAGTTTAATGTTTAAAGAGATTGAGGAACTAGAGTAAAATTGAACCTACACAAAAGACAGATCAGTAGAACATGAAGTTTTCTTGTCTTGAGATGAATCAAGCTTCCCCCTAGCCATCCGATGTAGCTCAGACAAAGGCATGATGAAGAGCTGAATCAGCGTTTTTCTTACTCAGAAATAACCCAAATTCAAGCACTTAGCCATTGCTACTACCTCCCATCGCTATTCTTGACTCTTCATGCATGGTTCAAAGAACCCAAAAGAAACATACATGAATGAAGCCATCAAGGATTCAAGACAAAATAGTCTGACCAAAAAAACACACTACAAGACAATCCACTACATTTTTAAGGCGAAAAATAAAATGGGGAAAAAGAGGGGGAGTAAACTGCTAGGATTTTAGTGACTATAATTTACAGAATAAAATCTTCCCTTCTAATGCAGAAGACCTAATGGAATAAACAAAAAAAAGTATACGTTGAATTTAAATTAAAGATAAAGAATCGGTCAAAACCAAGTCTTTAATAACTCCCAAAGAAATCAAAAACCTCTAAAATAAATTAGACCCCTTTACTTAAAAAATTTCAATCTTTTCCACCTTTCCGACCATCATTAGATAAAAACTAGCCAGAAAATCATGGATCATGGTTCTGAATAAGACGGGTCCTCAAAAATCATACTACTTGAAGAAGAGATGAAATTACAGGCAAACCCAGTAATCAGGGTAGAGATTCAGATAAATGCATCAGCACAAAGAAGAAAATTTTTGAGGAAAAATGAGTTCCTTGAAGCAGTCAAACCACGCTAATCCAAATGCCTTAAAACTGACCAATTGGGTTTAAAATAAAATTTAACAAAAGCACAATCCTTGAGCTCGAACAAAGAAAAACCAAGTTTTGAGGAGAGTGAAAAAAGCCGAAACAATGTGGACGTAGAAGACGGCGTAAGGCTTGCGCAGTTGCTGGGGACCAGACCAGGACAGAGATACATATACAGTCACTCACAAAAAAAAAAAAAAAAAAAAGGCATTTCAACTTGAGGTTGGGCATACTACCCATTGGTATCGTACTAGTGGTTGTCTTTTTTATTCTCTTTTTTTTTTTTTTTAGTTTCTCACTTTCTAAGTAGCGTCGGGTTTTTTTTTTTTTTTTCTGAATAATGCATTTTTATTTAGCTATTAAGTATTACAGTAATTTATTAGTTTGTGGAGACCATTTTTTGACTCGATTAGTTAAAGTTTAACTTTTTATTTGACGCACAGAAACATTTAATTTAACTTGATTGGTGCATGATTTTTAATTAAAATTTTGGAGATAGAGTCATATCTCCTCTAAATAAACTTGTTTTTTTTTATCAAATTATTGTGTTTTGAATACTTATTTCCCAAACTATTACAATATTTATCTTATTTCTCAAATTTTTGTATTTTTTTCACATCATTTACCATGCCATATTTTTATATTAAAAAAAAAAAAAGCAAAAGGTAGTCAATGGTTTTTCACTCCTTATGTTTTCTCCATCTCCAAAGTTTGTATGAGCATTTTTTGTTTCATTTTCAAAAGTTAATAAATTTCAATTAAATTCTTATTGATGCCCAGCTGATAAGAATAAAATTTGAAATTGAAAGATCGACGATTAATTAAAAATAAAAGTTGAAAATATCTCTAATGTTTATATTTTGATACTCAAATTAGTATTAACAAAAAAAGCCATCTTTAAAGAAAAAAATAATAGAAATTCAATGCTCAAACTTGAAGTAAGAAAATTATTTATATCTAAGGGGGCGAGGTTGACGGGTTTATCTGCCCAAACTTTGAAAGTTAGGTTTAGAGCTGATAGAGCTGGCCAGATTTAACATGACAAGTAAAAATTCAATCGAGAGATAACAAGCCTGTAAGTTCATTTGCATTTTAAATAAAGAGTCGACCTAATCGAGTTAACATACATCATTACTTTCAATTCGGCTTATCACGTTAACTCAATTTCAAATAACTACAATATCTTTACTTTATTGATAAGTCGACCTCTTTAAAAATTCACTTGTACTCTTATGACCTTAAAATACTTTTAACAAATATCTTGGCATTTGTTTTGAGAATTGAAAATTCGAGACCTGTTCATCTTTTGCTAGAACTGTTTTCTTTTTATCTAAAGGTAATGCAGTGAGCCGAAGGTCTGATAAATTTCACCAATTCAATCTTTTTTCCAAAGCTATTATATAATAGAATTTGTTGTAATACCTGAAAAATGGAAAGGAGATTTTGTTAATGCTAAAGCTTGAAAAAAAAAAAAAAAAAAAGGCTCTTGCTCCTTCTTCTTTCAATAAAGTCGTCCCTCTCATTTGCTACCTCAAACAGGCAAGCAGTCTGGGAAGAATAGTTTAAGATGGGTTCGAATATTTTTTTGTTGGGTTTTCTTATTTTAGGAGTTTTGTGATTGTATTTAATTTGGATTTGAATGGCTTTTCTACTAGACTCGATGTTGCAAGAAGATGAAAAACCATTGGTGTTTACTCTTTATAGGAACTTATACTCCATCCATATTTATTGAAATATGGAAAAGCTTCAACCTGTTAGCCTCAAATTCAATATTCTACCTTTCTTTGGCAGTCAACCACAACGATAATCAACTATCAATCAAGTCCTTGCCACAATTTAAGGGAGAACTTCCCTTGAAACTGCCCATCCTCCCAAATCTTGCAATCCCTGCTAGCTTCGAATCAAGGGGTTCCTTTGCATTGAACAACTATAAATCAAAGTACCTTAAATAGTTGTTTGAACTTGATGAAGAAGTTATAGATATAGTGAAAGAAGAGAATTTAGAGAGCTTTTTTAGGTTTAACGTAATTTAGTTTTGCGAATGAATTTGTAAGAGTAAAACCCTTTAATTGTCTCTATGTTTCTTTTGCTTTAAAAAAAAAAATATATATATATATATAATATAATAAATGACATGGCAAGAAACATAAGAGATTGGAAAATAAATTAGAACTTGTTTGTTTCGTAAAAAATTATTTTTAAAAAATGATATATGGAAAATATTTATATTTTTTAAATTAAAAAAGATTCTTATTATTCAAATGAATGAGTTAATGAAAAATATATTTCATTATTTGGTTATATTTTGAAAATTCTATTTTTTTCAAATAATATTAATATAACTATAAAAATATTAAAAATGAATTATTATTCAAATATATTAAATTATTTATTAATAATATTTATTAATATATTATATTAATAGCATATTATTTATTAGTAATATATTATTTATTCATATATTATTATAATATTTATTAATTAAATTAATCATATTTATTATTATATTATTTATTAATATAATATTATTTATTTATTAATATAACATTATTTATAAATAAAAGTATGGTCAAAAGTATAGACAAATAGTTATACTTATAAACAGTTCTTTTTCAAAAAATATATATTTCTTTTCAAATCTATAAGATAATTTCAAAAAAATTTACTTTATTTTTCATTGATTAGTAAATCATTTTTCATTGATTAATGAGTTTTGTACCAAACAAATACTTGAAAATGTGAAAATCATTTTTCGCAAAATAAATGGAGCCTAAAACTATAATAATTTGGGAATAAGTTTTCAAAACACAATAATTTGATAAAAGAACTAAAAAATATCCAAGGGTATAAAGTAATAATAATCCTTAGTAAGTATATATAGTAATAGTTAGAGCATGCTTCTTGCCCAATATTATTGATAAGATAGAAAATTTATTATTTTATTATATGTTTATTATGCACACAAAGAAAAGAATTGAATTGCTAAGAAGATTAGTCATCCTGTAAAATGAATTAATAATTTCCAAAAAAAAAATGATTATTTCTAATGATTATGTAATGGTGGCTTATAAATTATTTATTTTACTCCTAAAACTTATATTTAAAATTTGACTTAAACATTCAGTGAACAAGTATAATTATTTAAATAATTAATGTTTTCATTTTTTTTCCTTCTTTTTCTTTTTCATTTTTTCTTAATTTATTTCTTTTGCTTTTTATTTTTCCCTTTTTTTATTTTTTGTTTCTCCCTCCTTTTCTTTCTTTATTTTTTCTTTCTCCCATTTTCCCTCTTTTTCTTTTACTTCTTTTTTTGAATAAATAAAAATTATAGTTTTGATTTTTTTAAAAAAACTAATTTACTATTTTTGGAAATTATCAATTTTTAAATTATTTTTAAAAAAATAAATTTAGCTCTTACCATAAAAAATTCTAAATTTATAGTTAATAAATTTTTATTATCAGTTAAAATTATTTTTTTAAGTTTATATAATTTAAATTATTGATATAAATTTTAAGGGTATAATAAAACATGTAAACCTAACCTTATAGATTAAAGTCACATTTGGTGCACAAGATTATAATAAGATATGATAAAATAATATTATAAATAAAATTAGATTAATATAATATCATCTTATTTTGTATTTGATATATACAAAAATTAGGATAGGATAATTTACTTATTTATCAAAATTATCGTTCTTCAAAGTTTATACAATTTAATTATTGATGTAATTTTTAAGGGTATAATTGATCATGTAAATTTAATCTTATGGATTAAAAAAAATCTTCTCAAAGTAGAAAGGATTGAATAATCTAATGTCAAGAGAATATTAATCATCCTTACAATCCCTATCTCTTTTTTCATATATAAATCAAACATAATATAAGATGATTATGATCTTATCCTATTAATAATATTCATATACATCAAATATGACCTAAAAATAATTATCTTCATTTGGAGAGAATTGAATCATTATATACTAAAAAGATAATTAATTATCATTATAATCTTATTTTTTAAAATATAAATTAAAAATCATATAAAATAATTTTTTATCTTATTTAACATTTTATACATTAAACTTATCTTTAATATTTTATACGAGAGCAAAAGGCATTTATAATTTGCTATGTGAACTCACCGCAGTTCCTTTGATTCTAATCTGTAAGATTACTTGACATACGTCATTTCATAAGCATTTAAAAGTGTACAACCTTATTCAGGTAACCAAGTTTCTTCCAACTAGTAATGTTCGAGGACAGACGGTCAATTTTGTTGGAATTAGAGAATGTGTTATAGTTTCAGAAAGTAGTTATAAAATTTATATTGATTGTGTGTTAAAATTGATCTAAAGATATAAATATTTATTCTACTTTCAATTTAAAATTCATCTAAAGATATAAATATTTATTTTACTTTTAATTTGTAAAGTATTTTTTATGAGATAAAATTATGAACATAAAAAATTAAAACAAATAATATCATATAAATTGATATGGATCATAACACTGATAATATGTTTTTATTTCGTGTATTTGGACACTTGAATATATATAAAATATTCATTTATATTAGTGTAAGGCTTATATTTTTTTAGCTTTTAAATTAAAATTAAATTCATAACTTATTTGAATCAAAATAATATATATTTTTTATTTTGAAATAATTTTAATTTAAAAATCTAAAAAAAAAAAAAGAATTACACTAATATAAATAGATCTTTACTCTTTTGTGTAAATATGTTATCCTTTGCTTTATATTATATGTACTATATTATCCAATGAAATTGGGTCGTTATGGCCTTTTTTGTTTGTATTCATAATGGAGCACAACACCATCCATCTAGAGCGTAGACCATTACAATATGTTTCCTTTCCCCTTTTTTTCTTCTGTTTTTACACTATATATACCTCGAGTAAAGGGAATAGCTAGGGAGTAATAAAGTTCATTGACTTTGTTGGTGATCCTAGGAGAGACATTAACTCTGCAAGCAAGTGATCCATTCTGCCACTGTGTTCCTTTCTTTTTCCATCAACAAATTCAACTTCGATTTGGATGAAAATAATTAACTAAACGGGAAATGGCTATTCGAGTTTTTAATTGAACTTACTATTAAATGGAGTATC